GTCAGAGGAACTGTTTATAAAGTGAAGGCTTAGACCAAGGCTGTGGTAAAAAGGCCTGTATTGATGAAATCCATGCACGTAAGAACCGGATCTAAACGAACCCCAAAACAGAGGCATGGGTGTGAATAAAACAAGGTAAGACTACTTTCATGATATGGGTTCGAATTCACGTTTCGACCTGATTATCGTCATTGGGTTGGCCACACGCGTTCTCGTGGGTTTCACCAAGAGTAATCGCCTTAGACTTGCATCCCTTCAGGCTTTCCTCCGATAAAGGGTGTTCAAAGCGGCGTTAAAGCAAACTCACTCACGAGATGACCATATTGCACAGCCTACCGAGGAGATAATAGGTAAATATTTTTTCAAACGATACAATTAAGCTTTAGACTCATTAAAAAGAGTTTCCTGGTTTAAATTCGAGAACGCACAGCAGACTGAAGGGTGCAAATTTCTTATTGCAGACTGCTCCGAGGGCCACACCACTGATCACTACAAAGGCCAACGGGACGTATTTTACATTCATCCCAACAGTTCTTCGGTGAAATACCGGGTGTTCTGTACTATGGATTACAAAGGGAAGACGTATTTCATGCGCAGAAGTTATGACTTCTCGTACGTCAATTTCGCAAGGTCTTGGGAAGAGTACAAGCATGGTTTTGGAGATCTGCAAGAGAATGGTTAGTGGTGCACACACATTTACGACCCGTGAAGATCCGGGGTTGAATAGGTCTTCAGCAATCTATGCTTGCCGAAATAGCTGGAATATTGCTGAGTGCGGCGTTAAACAAGAAACAAGCAAACATACATTTACATTGCTAAAGTAATGCAGTGTTCATTTTCAGTGTGTGGAGGGTATGTAACCCGAAACATTAATTCTGAAAATAAATGTGAAAATCCAATCGAGAGAAACACAAAGGACCAAACTAACGGGGTTGTCGCATATTTTTATATTAGTTCCTGTTGTGAACCTACGAAAATGTTTGGTGGTGATTACAAATTGTATATATAAGTATACAAGCATAACGTTCAGGATTACATGAAACTGCAACAAACACTTTAAGAATGAGTGAGTGAGTAAGTATGGTTCTACGCCGCTGTTAGCAATATTCCAGAAACATCACGGCGGGGGACACCAGAAATGGGCTTCACACATTGTACCCATGTCGGGAATCGAACCCGGGTCTTCGGCGTCACGAGCGAACGCTTCAACCACCAGGCTACCCGACCGCTCCCTTTAAGAATGACATGTATATCTTGATGAGCATCAGGTTAACATTCAATATACTTGGTGCAAAACACAAGCTTCAGGTATTACGTATAACCTTCCAGAAACTATAAAATGAAACAATAAAGTAATCTGGCTTGTTTACAACTTAACAGAAATATATAAACAGAAATCTGGGCAGATGATTAATTTCTAATAATTAACTTTTTATCTCTATATGTATCATTGTTATTGAAAGGAATGAGACATTTATTTGCCATATTGCAGCATCCAGTCGTCATTTAGCATTTATTATATACTTCAATGTGAAAGACTCAGTTTTCTGAAGTTGAGAAAAGTGATATTTTCACTGCAGTGAACATAACACTGACGGAATTATTGTCATACAAGAATTACCTCCCCTTAGATTGTCTCCCTTTATCGTAGGTGTCACACCCGTGCACAAATCGCTGACGTCCTTTTTACGTTAGTTCCACATTGGCAAGGCAAAATAATGACAGATGGTCATTAATGGAGTTAATATCACTTCTTGTTTTCTATTCTCTCGAAAATGTAAACTGTACATTTCTCATTTTACTCGTCAAAGATTAAACGAAAAGCTGAATGCTGTGCAGCGATCGGTAAAATAAGCTGTGCTTATTGATTGACCTTTTCCATTATCACGGATATGGAACTAGAGTTAGGTTACAACGTTGCATGTTTGCTTCAGGAAACTTCTGGGCCGGGTTGGAAATGCTGCACCGTGTGACCACTAACAGAGATCATAAGCTTGTTGTTATGGCATCGTTCCAAGAAAATACAGATGTGCACTGGAGGCAACATTTCTATAACGACTTTAAGGTAATTCTATGTTGTTTGTTTGTTTGTTGTTTAACGCCGCACTCAGCAATATTCCAGCTGTATGTCGGCGGTCTGTAAATAATCGAGTATGGACCAGACAATCCAGTTATTAACATCATGAGCATCGATCCACGCAATTGGGATACTTCTATGTTCGTAGTCGTGACCGCGAAGAAAGCGATTAGTGGCATGCATACATTATAGTTGGTCGTTAAGGCTAGGTGCATACATTATAGTTGGTCGTTAAGGCTAGGTGCATACATTATAGTTGGTCGTTAAGGCTAGGTGCATACATTATAGTTGGTCGTTAAGGCTAGTTGCATACATTATAGTTGGTCGTTAAGGCTAGTTGCATACATTATAGTTGGTCGTTAAGGCTAGGTGTAGCGATTAAGATTATTGCAATTATATTGCGACACGGTGCGTGCGTGTGTGTGTGAGTTCTTTCCATGGCGTGATAAAACCGAATTATGGTTAAGCACGCCGTTAAGCCAAACGCTTTGTATGTGTAAAATCTCGCCAATACTTGACGAAGTCCTGCAGCAGAAATGAAAAGAACTGCTTGGAGATACTAGCCTATGGTTCGTGACTGCTGAGACATGGCGAGTCAATACTTGTGGAAATTTATGAGTGAGTGACTTGGTAGATGGGTGAGTGGGTGAATGTTATTTTACGATGTAATGCAGTGTAGAGACTTGGGCAGGCATATCAGTTAAAAGCGCTCTGTACGCCGATGTGTTTCTAGGTATGGTGGTCTTGAGAGACTTAATGGATCGGGTGGACAGGCTCGGTGATTGGTTCATTGCAAACAAACAAACAAACAAACAAAGCGGCTTCGAACCCAACTAACTCATTGTGTAAAAAACTTTTAAAGTAACGCTGTACTTTAATGGAACTGCTTTCTGTTCAACAATCCTTTCTGTTCACAGACAGATGGAGAAGCAAATCTCTACAAGTTCTCTTATACTTCATCATCACCAAACAACTGGGATGTCGACGATCGGGAGCTGATGGACGGACTGGGAAGCTCAATTGGCATCCCTTTCTCTACCTATGATAACGACAATTCCCCCGACCCTGCCAACTGCCCCAACATAAGCGAGTCAGGATGGTGGTTCAAATTGTGTCATGAGTACAATCCCACTGGTCAGCCACGGCCACTGTCGCTTGTCACCCAGACCAGCGACCCTACGTCCTTGTCATGGCCGCACAAGGAAAATAAGGCTCCCGTCACAATGACCATATATATAGAGATAGATTGATACATTAGCTGGTGTTGTAATTGAATTATGACTCAGTTACAGTAGTCATGAATGTATTTCGTTATTTAAGTGTCCCTGCCCTCTGGTGCCTTTGTATTATTGTCAGATTGATTATTGATAGAATGCGCTTCAATTTATTGTGCAGAGTTACGTCCCTTAGCTGTACCAGGAACTGAAAAGCCTGGGTTCGAATTCAATTACAGTATTCATGGATGTATTTCGTTATTACAGAATTCCTACCCTCTGGGGCCATTGCCAGATTGACTAGCTATATGACGGCAGTCTGTAAATAATCGCGTCTTGACCAGACAATCCAGTGAGTGACACCATGAACATCGATCCACGCAATTTGGATACGATGTAGTAACCTTTCTTGCGGCAACTTAATAACTAGTTGGGCCTTTATAGTATAAAAATACATCTTCATAAAGTGCAAACACTACACTTCTCATGACCGATGTTTGTGGGAACGCTAATCCGTATTATCGGATAAAAAGTTATAAATCACTCTATAAGTGGCCTTGGTCGTCTTTTTGGGAATATCAACTAAATATTACGGTAATTCTCCCAAGCTGGAACCCAGTTTGTACCGTCGTGTCAGCGCCCTGACAGAAGTTCAAAAACCAGGGCCCACTTGCGATCTTAGCGCTACGACTGTTGTAAGCCTCTGTTAAAGTATGGGAGTTACGGTCATCTTAACGCTAAGATCGCTTTGTGCAAGAGGGCCTATCCGTTGCCCAGCTGTGCAGACAGAAGCTGGTTAGGGAACATGTGGTTTGAGCCGATGTCCTTTAATCTGTTTGGACTGACATCACTAAACTGGTCAGCTGTATTTTCGGACTGACTCGTTAAATATTCAGTGCTGCTTACCTGTGTATATTGCCTGTTAGACTACCACATGCAAAGATTAAAAACGTGGAGGAAATAAATACACTTTGAAAGGCGTGGTCTTACAATCCTTCTCAGCGGGACAATAACTTCACACTACTTTAACCCCCTTCGAGGATATAGCCACCAACAATCTCAGTTACTGATTTATTCTACCAATTGTAAAAATGAATTTATTATTCATTTACAACACACAGTAATCAAAATTTATGGATTAATTCAATTTCCTTTAAAAAAACCAAGACTAAAATGAGAACTTACCTGATTAAAAGGGTGCCTGAAACTTTGAGTGAGTGAGTAGGTTTGGTTTAACGCCGCCTTTAACACTATTCCAGTTATATCGCGGCGTGTCAGCTTAATGTGGGAGGAAAGCCCGAAATGAAGCAGGTCTCAGACGTTTACCACTTCGGTGAAACCCACACGAGCACGGGTATGGTGCTGACAAACCTAGAAACATTTCGCCACAATCATAGGTTTCTGGCGTGCACAAGGGACGCAACTCTGCACAGCGAATTGCGGCGCCTTAGACGACTGGGCCACCCATGCCCACCCCCCCACCCCACCCCCCCACCCCCCCCCCACACCGAAATATTGATATCTAGAGATGAAAGACAGTTCATAGAGCTGTTGTTACTTCACTTATTGTTGTTTCTGATTCAAGCTTTGTAGGTGAACTGTTTTCATTTATGTCATTCTATATTTCAAAAGGGGCGATCGGGTAGCCTAGTGGTTCAGGTGTTCGTTCGTCACGCCGAACACCCTGGTTCGATTCCCGACATGGGTACAATGTGTGAAACCCATTTCTTGTGTCCCCTGCCGTGATATTGCTGGAATATTGCTAAAAGCGGCGTAAAACCATACTCACTCACTCACTTTATTTCAAAAGACATCAACAAATTATGCGCGATTGCATTGGCACTGTGATACATCAGATACAATTTTCAATTTCACTCATGCATTTATTTAACAATCTATCAACACATTGTTTGATGTACCGTATCTCATTTTTGGCCAGTTTTGTTAAACAGATTGCACAATTTAAGAATGCTGAGCTTTCTCCTTGCTGTGATGATACCTGGTGTCGCTTCCGATATACATTTCTCCTATGTCGAGACGTGCTACAACCCAACCCTTTCACCCAACACCTATCATGCAACTCAAGGACCCAGCGTCACAGCCTGTGGAATACTGTGCGCGAGGGATGACGGGTGTCAGTCCTTCAGTGTCAAACTGGAGGGGGGAGATGTTACTTGTTATCTCAACGCTGACAGGAGGCGGGAAGACAATGGGTGTGGCAGTCGGTCGTACAGACATTACAATGTAAGTAGATTTCTTTTCTGTTACGACCCGTGGGGATTCCGGCCAATGTTGTCGTTAGAGGCGATTAACGGGATCGGCTGGTCAGGCTTGCCGACTTGGTTGATGCATGTAATCGTGTCCCTAATGCGTGGACCGATGATCATGCTGTCAGTCACTGGATTGTCTGGTCTAGACTCGATTATTTACAGACCGCCGTCATATACTAGTAGCTGTAGTATTGCTGCGTGTGACCTTAAACAACAAACACCCTATACCTACATGCATTCTACACAATGTTAAAGAAACACACTAATACCTTTTCGTCGACGCACGGTATCCGCACTAATGTGTCGCCGGTGTGTCCCCATGGTCTGTCGAGCAGTTTCCATAGCAGTAACAAAGCGATCTTGAAGATGCAATCTGACGATCCTGACCCTTGGTCTTCCACTACGTGGTCGGTCATCTGGATTGTTGGTGGTCTGGTGCTTTTGCTGGAGCCTGTATAATAAGGTCCTTATGTGGATTTGAAATGCATTAGCTACTTGCCGGGCGGTTTGTCCAGCTTGCAATCGTCCAAGGGCTTGGTGTCGCTGATTTCTTGTCAATCTTGGCATGTGGTAGTTATTCAATAACGAATGAATGTTATCCGATCTGTGAGGATTTTTATAGGGCAAGAAATGGGGGAACGCATGTGCATTTCAATTTGCACGGAACTCACGTGCATCGGGTTACCATGGCCGTTGCCGTGATGCGTTTGGGCGATCGTTTTTATTGTCAGCTGCTTTGGGTTTTTTATCATCAAATTTCATTTTTCCGGACAAGGTATTGTTAAATTTTAGAAACACTGACAAAAAATACCCAGATATTTAAATGACAACTTTTCATGTGACGTTTCTTTTGCGGTTCAGTATATATCTTTGGCGGGTTATTTGGCAAGTTCTGTTTGAAAAACTATGTGTTTTGAACCGTTATTTTGAACGAGTCATGACTATGAGTGTTTTGTAAGTTGTTACATTTATAAGTGCCTGGGATCCCTTTGCGGAATGTTCTAAGATAGAGGACCTTCATATCCATGTCTTTTAAGCGTTCCAAGAGAGCACCGTTTTGAAAGCGCGTTTTTCGTCATGATGGCATGGAGATCAACCAACTGTGTTTTACCGCATGCAAAATAAGAGGTATTTAATCTACAATGGGACTACATCAAATTTCAAAGCACAGTAGGTTTATCTCCTAAATGAACTATCTGCTCCATTTGTCATAGTGTATTTTTGTTATTCAGTGGTTTCTGACAGACCTGACTGTCGACGTATGACTTTTGAATATTGCATGAACGTTGGACAGGGATAATGCATCTTAAAGATGTTGTTTATATTAATTTCGTTACCAGGGCTATGACTCAAGATGTCAATATGAAGGGTTCTTCGTGAATGACACGTATGGATGCAGGTGTTTCCATGGTTACATTGGCAAATGGTGTGACCGCCTGATGCAAGGTAACTGTAACAGGAAGTACATATTTTACAATCGCATGGTTATTTTCTTCACAATATATAAAACATGTCATTTTGCTAATGACTAGTCTGTCAGAGGAACTGTTTATAAAGTGAAGGCTTAGACCAAGGCTGTGGTAAAAAGGCCTGTATTGATGAAATCCATGCACGTAAGAACCGGATCTAAACGAACCCCAAAACAGAGGCATGGGTGTGAATAAAACAAGGTAAGACTACTTTCATGATATGGGTTCGAATTCACGTTTCGACCTGATTATCGTCATTGGGTTGGCCACACGCGTTCTCGTGGGTTTCACCAAGAGTAATCGCCTTAGACTTGCATCCCTTCAGGCTTTCCTCCGATAAAGGGTGTTCAAAGCGGCGTTAAAGCAAACTCACTCACGAGATGACCATATTGCACAGCCTACCGAGGAGATAATAGATAAATATTTTTTCAAACGATACAATTAAGCTTTAGACTCATTAAAAAGAGTTTCCTGGTTTAAATTCGAGAACGCACAGCAGACTGAAGGGTGCAAATTTCTTATTGCAGACTGCTCCGAGGGCCACACCACTGATCACTACAAAGGCCAACGGGACGTATTTTACATTCATCCCAACAGTTCTTCGGTGAAATACCGGGTGTTCTGTACTATGGATTACAAAGGGAAGACGTATTTCATGCGCAGAAGTTATGACTTCTCGTACGTCAATTTCGCAAGGTCTTGGGAAGAGTACAAGCATGGTTTTGGAGATCTGCAAGAGAATGGTTAGTGGTGCACACACATTTACGACCCGTGAAGATCCGGGGTTGAATAGGTCTTCAGCAATCTATGCTTGCCGAAATAGCTGGAATATTGCTGAGTGCGGCGTTAAACAAGAAACAAGCAAACATACATTTACATTGCTAAAGTAATGCAGTGTTCATTTTCAGTGTGTGGAGGGTATGTAACCCGAAACATTAATTCTGAAAATAAATGTGAAAATCCAATCGAGAGAAACACAAAGGACCAAACTAACGGGGTTGTCGCATATTTTTATATTAGTTCCTGTTGTGAACCTACGAAAATGTTTGGTGGTGATTACAAATTGTATATATAAGTATACAAGCATAACGTTCAGGATTACATGAAACTGCAACAAACACTTTAAGAATGAGTGAGTGAGTAAGTATGGTTCTACGCCGCTGTTAGCAATATTCCAGAAACATCACGGCGGGGGACACCAGAAATGGGCTTCACACATTGTACCCATGTCGGGAATCGAACCCGGGTCTTCGGCGTCACGAGCGAACGCTTCAACCACCAGGCTACCCGACCGCTCCCTTTAAGAATGACATGTATATCTTGATGAGCATCAGGTTAACATTCAATATACTTGGTGCAAAACACAAGCTTCAGGTATTACGTATAACCTTCCAGAAACTATAAAATGAAACAATAAAGTAATCTGGCTTGTTTACAACTTAACAGAAATATATAAACAGAAATCTGGGCAGATGATTAATTTCTAATAATTAACTTTTTATCTCTATATGTATCATTGTTATTGAAAGGAATGAGACATTTATTTGCCATATTGCAGCATCCAGTCGTCATTTAGCATTTATTATATACTTCAATGTGAAAGACTCAGTTTTCTGAAGTTGAGAAAAGTGATATTTTCACTGCAGTGAACATAACACTGACGGAATTATTGTCATACAAGAATTACCTCCCCTTAGATTGTCTCCCTTTATCGTAGGTGTCACACCCGTGCACAAATCGCTGACGTCCTTTTTACGTTAGTTCCACATTGGCAAGGCAAAATAATGACAGATGGTCATTAATGGAGTTAATATCACTTCTTGTTTTCTATTCTCTCGAAAATGTAAACTGTACATTTCTCATTTTACTCGTCAAAGATTAAACGAAAAGCTGAATGCTGTGCAGCGATCGGTAAAATAAGCTGTGCTTATTGATTGACCTTTTCCATTATCACGGATATGGAACTAGAGTTAGGTTACAACGTTGCATGTTTGCTTCAGGAAACTTCTGGGCCGGGTTGGAAATGCTGCACCGTGTGACCACTAACAGAGATCATAAGCTTGTTGTTATGGCATCGTTCCAAGAAAATACAGATGTGCACTGGAGGCAACATTTCTATAACGACTTTAAGGTAATTCTATGTTGTTTGTTTGTTTGTTGTTTAACGCCGCACTCAGCAATATTCCAGCTGTATGTCGGCGGTCTGTAAATAATCGAGTATGGACCAGACAATCCAGTTATTAACATCATGAGCATCGATCCACGCAATTGGGATACTTCTATGTTCGTAGTCGTGACCGCGAAGAAAGCGATTAGTGGCATGCATACATTATAGTTGGTCGTTAAGGCTAGGTGCATACATTATAGTTGGTCGTTAAGGCTAGGTGCATACATTATAGTTGGTCGTTAAGGCTAGGTGCATACATTATAGTTGGTCGTTAAGGCTAGTTGCATACATTATAGTTGGTCGTTAAGGCTAGTTGCATACATTATAGTTGGTCGTTAAGGCTAGGTGTAGCGATTAAGATTATTGCAATTATATTGCGACACGGTGCGTGCGTGTGTGTGTGAGTTCTTTCCATGGCGTGATAAAACCGAATTATGGTTAAGCACGCCGTTAAGCCAAACGCTTTGTATGTGTAAAATCTCGCCAATACTTGACGAAGTCCTGCAGCAGAAATGAAAAGAACTGCTTGGAGATACTAGCCTATGGTTCGTGACTGCTGAGACATGGCGAGTCAATACTTGTGGAAATTTATGAGTGAGTGACTTGGTAGATGGGTGAGTGGGTGAATGTTATTTTACGATGTAATGCAGTGTAGAGACTTGGGCAGGCATATCAGTTAAAAGCGCTCTGTACGCCGATGTGTTTCTAGGTATGGTGGTCTTGAGAGACTTAATGGATCGGGTGGACAGGCTCGGTGATTGGTTCATTGCAAACAAACAAACAAACAAACAAAGCGGCTTCGAACCCAACTAACTCATTGTGTAAAAAACTTTTAAAGTAACGCTGTACTTTAATGGAACTGCTTTCTGTTCAACAATCCTTTCTGTTCACAGACAGATGGAGAAGCAAATCTCTACAAGTTCTCTTATACTTCATCATCACCAAACAACTGGGATGTCGACGATCGGGAGCTGATGGACGGACTGGGAAGCTCAATTGGCATCCCTTTCTCTACCTATGATAACGACAATTCCCCCGACCCTGCCAACTGCCCCAACATAAGCGAGTCAGGATGGTGGTTCAAATTGTGTCATGAGTACAATCCCACTGGTCAGCCACGGCCACTGTCGCTTGTCACCCAGACCAGCGACCCTACGTCCTTGTCATGGCCGCACAAGGAAAATAAGGCTCCCGTCACAATGACCATATATATAGAGATAGATTGATACATTAGCTGGTGTTGTAATTGAATTATGACTCAGTTACAGTAGTCATGAATGTATTTCGTTATTTAAGTGTCCCTGCCCTCTGGTGCCTTTGTATTATTGTCAGATTGATTATTGATAGAATGCGCTTCAATTTATTGTGCAGAGTTACGTCCCTTAGCTGTACCAGGAACTGAAAAGCCTGGGTTCGAATTCAATTACAGTATTCATGGATGTATTTCGTTATTACAGAATTCCTACCCTCTGGGGCCATTGCCAGATTGACTAGCTATATGACGGCAGTCTGTAAATAATCGCGTCTTGACCAGACAATCCAGTGAGTGACACCATGAACATCGATCCACGCAATTTGGATACGATGTAGTAACCTTTCTTGCGGCAACTTAATAACTAGTTGGGCCTTTATAGTATAAAAATACATCTTCATAAAGTGCAAACACTACACTTCTCATGACCGATGTTTGTGGGAACGCTAATCCGTATTATCGGATAAAAAGTTATAAATCACTCTATAAGTGGCCTTGGTCGTCTTTTTGGGAATATCAACTAAATATTACGGTAATTCTCCCAAGCTGGAACCCAGTTTGTACCGTCGTGTCAGCGCCCTGACAGAAGTTCAAAAACCAGGGCCCACTTGCGATCTTAGCGCTACGACTGTTGTAAGCCTCTGTTAAAGTATGGGAGTTACGGTCATCTTAACGCTAAGATCGCTTTGTGCAAGAGGGCCTATCCGTTGCCCAGCTGTGCAGACAGAAGCTGGTTAGGGAACATGTGGTTTGAGCCGATGTCCTTTAATCTGTTTGGACTGACATCACTAAACTGGTCAGCTGTATTTTCGGACTGACTCGTTAAATATTCAGTGCTGCTTACCTGTGTATATTGCCTGTTAGACTACCACATGCTGTGCGTGTTCAACCTGTGATTGCTTACATATGGCTTTAGCTGGGTTATTATTGTCAAGTGGTAATAAATATTTAAAATTCAGTGTGGTTTGTCTTTGTCAATGCGCTTTAATACATTCAGTCTTTCTACTTATTCATTTTTTCGACTGTCACGTGTGCGAATTCACGATCGCTGGAAACTTTTGACAATTACGAGTTGGCTCCTCTGTGAGTGAGGCGTTACTCCAGCTCAGGGGATGTACTCGTCAGGGATAACCGTGACAAGAGGAACAATTGGGGGCTCATCCGGGATGTTATGGTACATTTGTTACCAAAGTTCCCGTCATTTTGAATTCACTGTAAACTCCCATTGAGAATGTTACTTTGGATATTGTTAATTACTCATCATGGCAGACGTAAACAAACCAATAGAGAAAAGGAATTTGACAAAGATAAGGATTAATTGATATTTTGTTTGTTTAACGCCGCACTAAGCAATATTCCAGCTATACGACGGCGGTCTGTCAATAATCGAGTCTAACCCAGACAATCCAGTGATTGTCATCATGAGCATCAATCCACGCAATTGGGATCGATGACATGCATCAACCAAGTCAGCGAGCCTGAGCATATCCATCCGATCCCGTTAGTCCCCTTTTACGGCAAGCATTGGTTGCTGATGACCAATTCTAACCCGGATCTTCACAGGTCAAGAGAGAAAAGGGAAAAGGGAGTTTAAAAAGTTGCGTATGGAGCACGAGTTTGGACTCTAGGAACTAGACGTAAGAAATGCTACGGGCAATTGAGACCATGAGAATAGTGCGTCTGGTTTCCGGATGAGTGCTTGCTATAGATCGGACCCTATTTTGATGAATCAGAAGTCGCTAGATCTTTTTCGCGTTTGAGCCAGCCGCTAAGTTGAACTGGGCTTAAACTATATGGCACATTCTAGTTCAGGGAAGGTTTAAAGCCATCTTCCCAAAGCAAGAGAGTTAACTGACTATAATAGTCCAGTTTCCCCCCTTGCCGAACTAGGCTGGTATTATGGAGTTACATTTTGGCTGGATTAACGAGTCTATGCATATTTCAATCAAAAGCGCACAACGAAATCGAAATCTGTCGTGCAGATTTCGGTCGATTGCAGGATTTGCAAAACATGGGTACCCCCAACTCGTTGTCAACAGATATTTTCCGAACCATTTCATGTTTTTAAACAAGGTGCTCACATGATTTGATGCACTTCGCGATGTAAGACCGGCTTTATCACAAATAGATCTTGACTATCGATCAGATCGTTTTGACTGGGCGTCGCCATTTTGTTTGAAGAAAATGCAAGAGATACGAGAGGTGGAATCTGATTGGTCCATAGGAAAGGCTTAGAAGGGACCTACATGTAACTCGTAATAGCCACTGGTGGCGCTACGATCGAGTTCAGGAATTCCAGCCTTGCCTCGGGAAGAGGGTTTGAGGCTTACAATTCTATGGATGATTCTTTGGTCAAAGATTATGAGTCTGTGAGAGCCACTGTAATTCAGTTAACTAGTGAGGCGTATCGCCTGCAGATTAGAAATCTAAAAAATTTGGAGATTCTGAAACTTACTGTGAGTTTGTATTTCGGGAGTAAAGTTTGTTTGACAAGTGGTCCAGGGCAGAAGATATTGATGGAAATGATTCCAGTTGAGTCGTTTGGTTTGTTGTTTAACGCCGCACTCAGCAATATTCCAGCTATATGACGGCGGCCTGTAAATAATCGAATCTGGACCAGACAATACAGTGATTGATATCATGAGCATCAATCCACGCAATTGGAATCAATGACATGCATTAGTCGCCTCTTATGACAAGCATAGTCGCCATTGAAGGCAAGCATGGGTTGCTGAAGACCTATTCTTCCCCGGATCTTCACGAGTCGATTACATTCTAAGTGGCAGGTGAAACCTGCGAACTTAATTCGTAAGTGTTGACCGTTTTGTGTGAGCATAATCATCTCTGCACTATGCAGCAGAAGCTTACATATCGTTTTTGACATCAGCAAACTCAGTTAACGCGCTTTCGTGTTACTGGATTGTCGTGTCCACACTCTGTGGTTAACAAACCGCTGTCGTAGGCCATAAGTATTGCGTAGCATTAGGCAACAACCACGAACTTTTTGTGCAAATTGTGTGAGTTGCTGGTTCTACACACAAACCTGTTCAGGAAGACTTGGTGTCGCCACCGATTTTAAGTTTTTTGTTTGTTTGTTTTGTTAGTTGTTTAACGTCGCACCCAGCAATATTGCAGCTATATGACGGCGGTCTGTAAATAATCCGATTTTAAGTGGGGTCATCACTGAGTTTCAGGGATCCATTCATATAATTTTCATCACTATTTTGTCCTTTTCACCCTTTGACAGGGTTCATATAAAGGGACCGACCCGTGAAGATCCGGGGTAGAATAGGTCTTCAGCAATCCTTGCTTGCTGTAAAAGGCGACTATGCTTGTCGTGAAAGGCGACTCACGGGATCGGGTGGTCAGGCTCGCTGACTTGGTGTATGGTCCCAACAAACAAACAAACAAAATTGTATGTACAACATCTTTCTAAAGTGCAAATGCTGCACCTTTATGACATGAAATATCACACTCTATAGCCTACAGGGGTTACCTACATCGTCGCCTGCGTTTTGTCGCCCCTCGTAATTCCTTAGGTTTAGGAGACCGTCTACGTGGTCTAGTGGTAGAGCGTCCGCCCGGAGAGCGGAAGGTCCGGGGTTCGATCCCCGGCTGCGTCATACCAAAAGACGTTAAAAGATGGTACTTGTTGTTACCCTGTCTGGCGCTCGGCATTAAGAGGCTAAAACAAGGACTGGTCAACTCGGAGTCAGTAAACTGGGGGGTATTCATGTTAAACTGCGGCATGGTATCTCAGTGAGCTAGCACTATAAATCGGCATCAGTCCTGTACAAGCAGCCACAAACACACGCACGTACATGCCCGTCGCTATATAAGTGCAGTAATTTTGGACGCGAGTTAAACCCCATTTCACCTCAGGTTTAAGGGCGGGATGGGGCGGGTGGGTTTGGGTACAGTTGGCTTGATGACCCTATAAGGTTACCATACGACAAAATCAACTTATCTGATTTTCAATGTTTATATAGCAACTAAACTAAGCAAAAACTCTAATTATTTTTCACAGATCCTATTTTCATTCATATATATGCTATAAGGAGTTGCCATTACATACATCCGGTCTAAGTACAAGGGGGGATATTGTTTGAAAAAAATCCAGGTCCTCCGAAAAGAGGCCCCACAACTCAGGAATGAAACATTTTCAGAATTACGTTTTTTGATCTGGTGGTGGTGTGGGATGTGGTATGTCTCAAAACTTGAGGAATTAAGCATTATCCGACATCGAACGTTTGAACTGGTGCCTTGTACCAACTGTGTATATAGATCGGGTCGCTCTGCATCGCTATCAGTGCTGCTTACTCGCCTGTTAGACGCACTCGTGTTGGGTCAGTCCACCCTTTAAAGCCTTATTGCTTTAGCTTGGTTGTTATTGTCTAGCGTTAATAGATCCTTAAACTTCAAATGGTTTATCTTATATCGTATATCATCTGTCTGCCACGGCCAAATGAAATCTGTATCGGCAGATAATCGAGATTGTTGAGTCATTGTCGTTGACATTTTACTTTTCAAAAGACGATTTTGTAGAGCTTACATGTATGAAAAGGAAGCTTTCAGTGGGTAACTTCCACTAATTGCGCAGTAAATCAATATTACATGTGTGCTTTATTCCGAAATGATACCCTCATTAACGTTGTTTATGGATTTAGATATGTGTGTGTCATGGTAAACATAACTCTTTTGTCTGTCGTCATGGCAACAGCCTCTTATAAGGACTTCTAAACACTTACATAAACATGTCATTTCTATAACTTTGGGTGGTCCTGACATTCATTCGGTTAGGGACAAACCATTTAATGTTCCTTGGGAAGGGGGAGGGGGGTTGCCAGGAATGTTGTTAGAATTTGGGTAATCTCTTAGCCACTGCATCAAACCACCCAACGACTTTCGATGAAGGAGGAGGTGCCAAAGGACAATTTAAGCTTTGGTGGTAACCTGAGAAAATTTTCCAGTTAAATTTCTGGCAGACCAAATTTCTTAAACCCCCCACATAAACCCACCCCCTGAATATATTAGGGTCGGTCCTGCCTTGGAATTCGACCATAAAAATATATGTAATTCTTTCCCAAGACCCACAATACACGACTGCTGGATCAAACCACTGCTCCGTGTGACATTGAGGTATTAACGATGAGGGTTGTTCTCGTACTAATGATGGTACCTGGTTTTTTGTGCAATACCATGTTCACCAAGATTGAGTCCTGCTTAGATCCTCCTCAAGCACCAGACACCTACTTCACAGCCAAGGGTCTCAGTTCCATCGAGTGCGGAGTTCTGTGTGGCCAGGACGACAGGTGTAGGGCCTTCAGCGTCCGAGAGGGAAACGGTAGCACATGCTACCTCAGCACAGAAAGGATAAGGTTGGATTATGGCTGTTCCAGTCAGTTCAAGCATTTCAATGTGAGTATAGTATTCGAAAGTTTAAGCACACTTTGAAATTACATGAAATTGAAAACTAGTGTTAGTGAACTTGACCAGTGGGATAGATGTAGCTTTGTGGTGAAAGCATTCGTTCGTCACGTAGAAGCCCGGGCTTATTCTTGGCTTGGGGACAATGTGTGAAGCCCATTTCTAGGGTGATATTCCTGGACATTTTATTTTTCGATACTCTGCAAGGTAACCCCGTTACTATCCAAATACCGTTACGACGGAAAGGAGGACTCAGCCCAAGCAGATCAGACCAAGGTGTAGATGATAGTGGGTTGTTAGAATGATCCATTAATAGAGTTTTAGGCATAAAATATCGGACCTGTGTTGCAGTATTACGGATATGACAGTTCAGCATACACCAGAATCATATGCTATTACAAACGACAGGAATTGCAATGCACTGATGTTTGGTTAAAAACACCCGTAGCTTTCCCAAGTACCGCGCCGAGTCAAATATAGCCACTTAAAGTTTATATTTGTCGGATAAGAAGTCTATACATTTTCTATAGCAGTTTAGCATATCTTGTGGTAAGACCATTGTTGAATGAAAATAGCGAAAAAGAAGATAAGACATACGGCCTGTAGAGTATTTTATGTCAGTTAGGAACCGACCATTCGATTTTCTGGGGGAGCTGACATATGCTCACCTCGGAACTTCGTACCAGGTGAGCTTATAAAGGGTGAGCTATCTTTCGACATATTTTATGAATAAATCGTATTGGGTGATGACGGATGTTGCACGCCGTACAAAGACGGATGGCAATACGTCACATAAGCCTTTTGGACATCTTGCATGAATGGATAAAAATTAAGCTAACTAGAACTGTCCTGTATGAATTAAGGAAGGCATATCGTACAGTGTCCGTAGCTACACCTACGTACATATCTGAAAGAAATTAATGTAGTATTTTAGAAGTTGCCCAGACAAATTGAAATGACGAAGTAATAAAAGGCAATAACTCCGCCCAGAGGAAAAATACAATTGCAATGTGCCCAACAAAATGTTGAGGTGGCAACGTGTACAAAGATTAATTGAAATCAGTCATTAGTTTGGAAGGTATTGTTCGCAAAGTTATTTTCTGCGGACAGACCGACAGACGGGCTGACACGCTGATTCCATTATACCCCCTAACTTCGTAGCAAGGGAATACAAATAGATATTTACTCATTTAGATGTTTGAGACCTGTAAATTACAAAATAGCGACTGGGAGACCATCTTGGATTTCTGAATGTGGTTATATTACAGTAACTGTATATTGTGCTAATCTTCCACACCTAGTTTCATAAATATCACTTATTGGTATGGTAAAATAGTTTTAAAGTGGGTTAACTATCTAAATTGCGACCAATCAGAGGACTCCATTACGCTGGTATTGTAATAAAATATACTTTGTGTGCAAAAATATATCTAAATATCCCTTTTAACGTAAATAAAGTCATATTGTATAGAGGCCCAAGATAAACCTCTGTACCAAGATTTAACAAAATCGTCAGTTATGACCCATAAAGAAAACCTGTAAATAACGACCAGGTTGTCGTTGTTGAGAGTGAGAGGTTGTTGGAATATGAAAGGTGCGGTGCACTTACACAAGTTCCTTGGCTTTACTTTTTGTTGTTCCTGAGAAAACGCGCACAGTTGAAGAAAGAATATATTCTATTAAGAATAATTAGTCTTTACTTTATTCAGTACTTATAGGCCACGAACCTTTATGTATAAACGAAATACAAATTAGGTGCAAACAGTATAAAATACAACACATATAAGCATATTTATTTTTTAAAAGCCGTTTTAACATAATTGCATATCATCAAAGTTGGAGTTTTTGTGTTCTTACAGCATTGGCGTAAAACCAGTACTTTTCTGTATTCGTACTGATAATAGGGTCTTGCGATGACAGTAGTGTATTAAACTTCAGAATATTTTGAAAGATGTAAAAAATTGCCTTTGATGGCTATAACATTGAAAAATTAACAAAATGTGATAATCATTTCCGAAATGGTTTAGGTTACAAACTTTACATTTTCCTAAATTCAAGAGGAATATTGAAATGTCGTCCACGTTCAATTTCTAAATTGTGAGAACTGAGCCGAAAACGAGTGAACCTGGTCCTAAATTGTTTTTACAGTTATACTACTCAACTAGTTCTCACATGAAATGGATGTTTTAAACTGTGCATAATAAGCCATTTGAGGGCTTTCGCATAAATCACTATGCCAAACCTGAAAAATAGTTTTAACCGCTGACGTAACATATTTGAAAATACGGTTTTATTACCACATGTTTGAAAGTACCAGAAATCACCAAATCCTAATCTAAAAATAACAGTTTTAAGGTTCGTTACCCAATTTACGTGGCCTTGTTCATCGTACAACCGCAACATATTGTAATTTTTTTTGTGGTAAACGAGATTCCTGCGTATTATAAAGAAAGAGCCCATTTTTGACACATTTCAAAACAGCGAGCGACTGGATACAACGTCTACCACACTCGGTTCTATGTCACTGAACCCTCAAATTTCTGCCCCGTATAAAAGTATTGGTGTTATCTTTGTATCAAAACATTTGATTTGGTTGGTTGGTTGATTTGTTGTTTTACGCCGCACTCAGCAATATTCCAGCTATATGACGGCGGTCTGTAAATAATCGAGTCTTGACCAGACAATCCAGTGATTGATATCATGAGCATCGATCCACGCAAATGGGATCGATGACATGCATCAACCAAGTCAGCGAGTCTCACCACCCGATCCCGTTAGTCGCATTTTACGACAAGTATAGTCACCTTTTACGGCAAGCATGGGTTGTTGAAGACCTATTCTACCCTGGAATATTCATGGGTCTCAAAACATTTGAAGTAAAAGTGAGGCGAGTATGGTTTCAAGGAATGTGTACTAATTATAATTAACAGGACCAGGAACACCTTTCTTGCCTGAAATGCAATATTATTTAAGCATTCGACCTCAGTAATCTATTGCTAAAATACAAGCCAAGATAACTTATTCAGTACCGTCTTCATACGTATTTCCATCATAATACCCTTTCTTTCATAACGTGATAAACCTGCCCTATTTTTGAAAAACAACTATTTTTGTTTTTGATAGATTGACTGACATTTCCCATTTACAACAGCCCTCATGCAAGATATTCAACTTCATTTGTATGTTGTTGACAGCATAGCTAAACACAATAAGGTCTTCGGCAAATAGAAGTAGAAAAAATATAAATAAATTCCGGATGTAATTTAACACCGAAACGACAATTTTGTTCCATTTCAGTAACCAATTCGTTTATAAAAAAAACTGAAACAAAAAGGGACAAAGCAAACACTCTTGCCTCACACCCATGAAGCAACAAGTATACCAGATACTCTGTTGTTTGAAAGAACACAAGCCTTTACATTACTGTACATGGATTTGGCATTTTACCCATTTTAGCATTCAAAAAATGTTTAAACGATGGCTTCCATAGATGTCGTCAAGGCCAGATGATATATTATGTTTCTTGGCACCGATGCTTTCAAAATGTTCGGATCTGGTGATTGGGGATTCTGATATGTCATTTGACAAGTCTTGCACATTACCTTGACATGTCACTATATCCTCCACCTCACCAAGATTATCCTGAATACCCATTGGTTCAGAATTCAGCGACGAGAAATAGTCCCCCGAATCTTGTATGCCAATAGGGTTGGGTCGTTGTGGTCGTCCAGACACACGCTTTATGATGTCCCAGAAATGTTTAGAGTCTACCGCTGCTGCATTTTCTAGGTTACCAAGTGCCTTTTACATCGTGCAAACTGGTCCTTCTTGATTCCACACAGTTATCTGTATTCATTTCAAACTTTTTTTTATACTTAATAAGGTATAAGTTATCTCTAGTTTTTTTCTGAACGCAGTTAAATAATGGCACCGTTCATGTTTTTTACAGAGACTTTCATCATCATCGGGGAACATGTCACTCGATGCTAAACCATACTATATCACACTATACCCTAAATGCCCAATAGGGGGCACGGGTGGCACAGTTGTGTAAGGAGCCGCGATTCGCTGTGCAGAGTTGCGTCCCTTGGGCACGCCAGAAACCTATGATTGTATGTTCGAATCCCATTTCGCCCCGATTATGTTTCTAGGTTTGTCAGCACCATACCCGTGCTCGTGGGTTTCACCGAAGTGGTAAACGTCTGAGACCTGCACCACTCCGGGCTTTCCTCCTAGATTAAGCTGACACGCCTTGATATAACTGGAATACTGTTAAAAGCGGTGTTAAACCCAACTCACTCACTCACTCACTCACTCGCTGATCTGTCTCTTTATGCATTACATGCGGAGTTTTTGCTTGGATTGGCAAAGTCAAAAGAAAGTAATTTGGCCAAGACGTTTGACTTAAGTTTCAGGGGTATTGATGATCTGATATCGGTCAATAACTATAAAATAGCCAATTCCATTCTATTGATTTACCCACCTGAACCAGAAACAAAGGAGGCCTGTGAGACCGTAGGTTTCAATTTTAGATATTTGCATAAAGGGACCAGGGTGATGAAAAAGCTCTCAAGACTCCATGACAAGAGGTATGATTTCCCTTCGTGTTGATTTAGGTTACAACATTACAGGCCTAAGTAAAGCTTTCAAAAAGTATTATGACAGACATGAGGAGAATATTTCCAAATTTGTCGCATCAGTGACAAAAATAATCCCTGATGCAATTCCCTTTTTGACTTTTACCATATGTTCCCGTGTTTTATTAGGACTTGACTTTTTTGCATTTGTTTGTGAAGATTGCCATCAGTGAGGCAGGGTACGCTCACCTTTTCGCGAACACCTGGTATCATCACTGTTTGATAGTGATTCCTAAACACGTGATCATGACATAGTTGGAATCGTACAATCGGTTCTGCTTTAGCAGAGATTGCTTATGAACATCAATAGAGTTTTGTTGCTTTTATTTAACAGATGAACCTACTCACAATTGTCGACATATATAGTTGAGCTTAAGATGTTTAATTCATATGTTCAGGTAATTATGACATTGTCTTGTTGTGTTTTCTCAGGAATTTGATTCAAGGTGCCACTTCCACGGCATCTTCATAAACTCTACTTACGGCTGCAGATGCTATGACGGTTACATTGGTAGCTGGTGTGCAAGGCTCATGCAAGGTAATAACTGATAACACTGGCATAACATTCATCACATTTCCTTATGTGAAGATGGCACAACAATATAACCAAACAGTATTTATTTTTGCTTTTCGCCGCTCAGCAATAATTTTAGCTGAAAATTAATATTGGAATCAAAAGCAGATGAACTTGATAATGCAATAATATCACGATGTTTGTGTTGGTTTGTTTGACGCTGCACTCACTCGTGTAGAACAATGGCATGCAATTACCAACCCCGTGAAGATTCCGGGTTAGAATAGGTCTTCAGCAACCCATGCTTGCCGTAAAAGGTGACTGCTTGTCGTAAGAAGCGACTAACGGGATCGGGTGGTGAGACTCGCTGACTTGGTTGATACATGTCATCGGTCCCAATTACGTGGATCGATGCTCATGATATTAATCACTGGATTGTCTGGTCCAGACTCGATTATTTACAGACCGCCGTCATATAGCTGGTATATTGCTGAGTGCGGCGTTAAACAACAAACCAACCAAACCAACCAACCCATCGAGCCTGTCTATCCGATCCATTAGATCGTCTCTTAAGACCAGCATATGTTGCTGGGGACCTATTTTAACCAGGAACATCTCGAGAGTCCTGTTTTGTTAAAATGTGCTGTTTTGTGCCACAGATTGCACCGAAGGATGGAAAACTGACCACTACAAAGGCACGAAAGAAGCATATTACATTCAACCTTTCAACTCTCCCGTTCACTTCAAGGTATTTTGTAAAATGTCTCATGGTGGCAAAACATTCCTGATGAATCAAAGGTTTGAATTTCCGTCCGTTAACTTCTCGAGACCGTGGGCAGAGTACAAACATGGCTTTGGAGATTATCGGAGAAATGGTAAGTGTAACACAATCTTTTAAACTACCCTTCTGCTTTGTACTTTGTTGAACAAAAACATCCTCAAAGCACATTCAATTTGTATCCTACCGTATTGTAACTGTTAATATGTTCTTTGGAGATCACCAAACAACAGCGTAAATAGACGCTAGGAAGAGGATGAAGCAGTTCTGAGGATGAAGCCGCGAATGTCAAGAAGAAGCTTTGAATTTACTCGATGGTTCAAAGGTTTCATATATACAATGACATCACATTCACCTAACAATTTGTATGACCCGTGAAGATCTGGTGTAGAATAGGTCTTCAGCAACTCATTCTTGCCATGAAAGGTGATTATGCTTGTCGTAAGAGGTGACTAACGGGATCGGGTAGTCATATTCACTGACTTGGTTGATGCATGTCATGAATGTGAAAATTACACGATTCTGATTAATCAATCAGTGGGTGGGTGAGTGAGTGAGTGAGTGAGGTTTTACGCCGCTTTTAGCAATATTCCATTAATATCACGACGGGGGACACCACAAATGGGCTTCACACATTGTACCCATGTCGGGAGTCGAACTCACGTCTTCGGCGTGACGAGCGAACGCTTTAACCACTAGGCTACCCGACCGCCCCGAAACAAATCAATCAGAGGCAGTTAAAACACACAAAAAAACCTCTGCATGAAACAGGCTTTTTTTCGCCCGCATCACCGCAGAAGCTAATAGTACTTTTTTCAGTCATTGTGGGTTGGCACATTTAAATAATTATACCTACAATTATAGGTTACAAAATGCAAATTTGCAGTTACTATAATAGTCAGAGGATGTGTGGCAATACATTTCGTGCAGAAAACACGATAGAAATCGACAGAGCTTAGTTTTCTTTTGGGATGCCCACCTCATGTTAGCTTACCATGTCTCCGTACTTAAATGCTTTTAATTCCTGTCATATGTTTGAGTGAAGTATTACAGTGTTAACAAACTGCTTGTTGAAAATATACAGCGCCATGTTTTGTTTACAGGCTGTAGTCGGTGATTCCGTATTTCAAATCGACAACCCACTCAAAACACTGAACTCAACCCATGCCGCTTTAATCAATATATTTGCTAATAAACATACTGCGTTTTCAATGTAGATCTAGAGCTAGATTACCTAAACTTTTAACAACGCTAATTTTAACATTTGAAACCTCACGCTTCGCGATCGGTTACATATTCAATATGGCGATTAAATCTATCCAGCTTAAAAAAACAAAAAAAACACAGTATGTTTATCTCCTAGTTATCATCCCTTTTGGAGACGTTATCTACAGCCGGGCAACACTTATGACTTTCCACGGACCGGTCGACCACCCGTGACGAACCATATTCGGTTGGTGCATATACAGAATCATGCCCAAACAGTCATATTAACAGCTCGGACGACCCGTGAAGATTCCGTGGTAGAATAGGTCTTCAGCAACCCATGCTTGCCGTAAAAGGCGACTATGCTTGTCGTAAGAGGCGACTAACGGGATCGGGTGGTCAGGCTCGCTGACTAGGTTGAAGCATGTCATCGATCCAAATTGCGTGGATCGATGCTCATGATGTCAATCACTGGATTGTCTGGTCCAGACTCGATTATTTACAGACCGCCGTCATATAGCTGGAATACTGCTGAGTGCGGCGTAAAACAACAAACCAACCAACAGCTCGGACAATTCCTGGCTTGAGTTTTTTATTTTATCTACTCGTGGCAGAACCGTAGGCAGCCGGTGGCTGGAACAGAACATCCGGACTCGATGTCCAGCGATACGCCCAATTTTGCCTCTACCGTCAGGCACGCCTAGCTTGGTGTAGACAGCATCTGAGGTTCAGAAGACAAGACTAGGGCGGTATACTGTTCACGGATGAGTCCAGATTGTATCGTAACAGCTCTGTTTGTCTTGCAAGGGACTACAGTCATCCAGTAGAATGTTTAGCGACGCTTGCGTTTCTCAACGGCGTCAGTCTGGGAGTGCAAGTGTAATGGAATGGGATGGCAATTCAGCCCATGGAAGAACACATATACAACTCCTCACTGTTAACGTCAATATGAATGGCGTACGTATGTTCTACCCTTTGCGCAGGGAAGTAAATGTCACGTTGGTTGTGCCCGTCCTCAAGTTGCGTGTGTTGTAACAGACAGCTGTTTTGACCTCAGTCATGTGCATATGTAAACACAGATTATTGTCTGCCATGAAATGTTTCAATATAGCTTCTAACAAAGAAGGCTCACCACAATAGCGAGAAGACAATCGGATATTTGGTATCAGGCTAACAATGTCCACGCTAAATAACTTTCTTTTGTCGTTCCATCTTATGATCATATGAGTGAGTGAGTGAGTTGGGTTTAACGCCGCTTTTAACATTATTCCAGTCATATCACGGCGTGTCAGCTTAATGTGGGAGGAAAGCCCGAAGTGATGCAGGTCTCCGACGTTTACCACTTCGGTGAAACCCACGAGTACGGGTATGGTGCTGACAAACCTAGAAACATAATTGGGGCGAACCGGGATTCGAACCCACAATCATAGGTTTCTGGCGTGCCCAAGGGACGCAACTCTGCACAGCGAATCGCGGCGCCTTAGACGACTGGGCCACCCGTGCCCCCTATGATCATATGAACTTTCCGGGATCAATTTATGAAACCTCAAGGTTGCCCCATGAAAACCCAACGGATGTGGTCTGACAAAGACGATTTATTTAAAGTCAGCTTTGGACATCGGAAAGTGCTCCTTAATTTGGGTTTTGAGGTGACTTGATGAAGGCATGAGCCATATACACTTATTAAATTTGACGATTTCGGAATCCAAAATGCAGCATGAGACAACACTTACCAGATATTACATCAGATCTGTAAATTGCTTGAGCACTCGGTGTCGTGATTGAACAGGAAAGAAAGTGACTTGCAAAGATCTTGCTAAGGGGCCAAATATTATTTGTGTTATCTGGTGACAGGACAGACACCGTTACTTTGGACAAGATTATTGTTAACAAAACAAATGAACTTAAATGTAAACACAATAAGTCTTTTGCTGTTATAAGACTTTCGTGATGTGACTTCAGGTAATTTGAGAAAATTCGACATATTATTTGTGGACAAACAGTTCCTGCACATGTCTAGACATTTACGGTATTTTGCTGGCTGACGAAGTAAGAGCAGAATATTACAATTGACATCTAAAATCATACTTGTGTAGAATTTACATCTCTAAACAAGAGTCATCCGAAGATGACATATCCCCCCGACGTGGCATGTCGGGGCTACAAATTAAAAAGATTAAAATCTATAAATAACAAACTGCACTACTAGTGAACATGATTGATATGTGCATAAAGTTTGGTGAATCTCTGTCGCATGGTTTAGAAGATATGGACATTACCCTAAGTTCATCAATTTTCAATTCAAATTGAAAAAAGTAAAAAAAGAAAAAATCTGTTAGTAGCAAAGGCACCGCTACATAACCTTCTTGATAGGTGTAAAAACTTTTGAGAAGCTAAGTTGTATGGTTCGGGAGAAATGGTCCAGACAAGAGCACTACCCTCAAATTTCCCAAGTTCATCATATTTCCATGGAAACGGCAAAAATATAAAATTCTAAAATTATCTAAATAGCAAAAGGCATCTCTACTGAGCCTGATTGTTAAGTGTACCAAGTTTTGGGAAGCTAGGTTGTACGGTTTAGAAAATATGCTCTCGACAAGAGCAGTACCCTCAAATTTCCTAAGTTCATAATATTTCCATCGAAACGACAAAATATAAAATTCTAAAAATCTCTAACTAGCAAAAGGCACTTCTACTGAGCCTGATTGTTAAGTGTACCAAGTTTTGGGAAGCTAGGTTGTACGGTTTAGGAAATATGCTCCGGACAAGAGCACTACCCTCAAATTTCCTAAGGTCATCATATTTCCATGGAAACGACAAAAATAAAAAATTCTAAAATTATCTAAATAGCAAAAGACACTACTACTGAGCCTGATTGGTAAGTGTACCAAGTTTTGTGAAGCTAGGTTTTTCGGTTTAGGAAATATGCTCCGAACAAACAATGATTACAGACGGACATACTGATGGCTATATCCCCCCGTCATTATATGTCAAAATACTTTTTACTTGGAAATAACTCATTGCTGTGTTTAACAATGGAGATATTTATAAGTGGTATGTGTATTATAAATAAATATAAAAATATTATATAAATAGTCAACAGTTGGTGATCGATTCTTCAAACTTTGCTCACATTAGTGTCATTTACCCAGGTTCCATATGGCACACATGGAACAGTAGAAGGTGAAGGCAATCTTTTCTCAATATCGTGTATGGCATCGTCTTCCCATGGACGCAATGGGATCCCGAATTGTGACATGAGGAGTGTTCACTCGTGCCAACTGTCGGAAGTGCTGTGGTTGTTGCTGACGTTGATCCAGTGCATCCTATAAATGCTTGACTGAGATTAAATATGGAGAAATGGAGGTCCATGGCATGGCCTGGATGTTGTCATTCCTGAAAATAGCTGTTGTCAGTCTTCTGTGAGGCCGTGCGGTGTCTTTTGGAAAATAACCGATGTGCTTGAAGATTCTCATCCATGGGCCATTTCCCAGAACTTGCACTAAGTCTGCTCTATCAGTGCGGGAGATGACTGCCCACATAATCACACTACCACAACCAAATATGTCCACTTCCTGTATGGAATTTCGTGCAAAACGTTCCCCAAAACGCCTGTAAACACGACGTCTACCATCCGCACGGAGAAGCATAAAACGTGACTCGTCACTGAACCAAACTTGTCTCCATCGCAGCTGTGGCCATATTCTGTTACCTTGACGTCACAGTGGTATTGTGAGCAAGCTACCACGTTCTCGGGTCATGAGAACATGCAACTGACCAACTATCGAGCCAGGTCACCACTCTTACGACAAACAATAGCCTGACTGGAACCAATTCTGACCCGAAATGAGCGTCAAGTGGATGTCAAGAGATCCAAGGATGTCAGCAGCTTCTGTCAACCCCCAAGACCATCCTCTTCAGAAGAGCATACGACTGATCTCTCCAAGCAGGTAGTATTTGGATCAGATGTTCTATATAAAAAAATAATTATTGTTACTGTGTATTTCTGTTTTGCAGGTAACCACTGGACAGGGCTCAACATGTTGCATTATGTTACAACAAACCGGCCTCATCAATTTGTTGTTATGGTAGACTTCAAAGAAGCGGGAGAGATACATTGGAGACAACTTTTCTACAAGAATTTCACGGTACGTACAAATTAAAAGCTCTTTGCTTTATAATATAAAAACTGTCATTGAGAAGATGTTGTAATAATGAAGAGAGGATTGACTGGTTTGAAGAGACTAGGATGCTAACGGTACTACTATATGAACCCAAACAACGTCGTTTGTGGGTGAATGAGATGAATGAATGTTGGTTGGTTGGTTGGTTGGTTTGTTGCTTAACGCCGCACTCAGCAATGTTCCAGCTATATGATGGCGGTCTGTAAATAATCGAGTCTGGACCAGACAATCCAGTGTTTAATATCATGAGCATCGATCCACGCAATTGGGATCGATGACAGGCATCAACCAAGTCAGCGAGCCTGACCACCCGATCCCGTTAGTCGCCTTTTACGACAAGCTCAGTCGCCTTTTACGGCAAGCATGGTTTGCTGAAGACCTATTCTACCCCGGAATCTTCATGAATGTAATATCATTGTCTTGTCCAACAATCTAACATTTAGACTGACATAGACTGAGTGTTATTGTATGTAACATAACGTAATGCAAATTTAAAACTGCGGACTCATTTAAACATTTATGTGGAATAACTGCCAATAAAGGTAATGAATTAAGTCGTCCCTCCTAAATATGAGGTCATCTTCTGTTCCATATACAACCATTGATTGAATATGTATATTCATACCCGTTTTGTACTTCGGATCAAACGTCTGCCTCCCATTAACGAATAAGGACCAGCTGTGTCATTTGTCGTTATGATATCACTCATGATATCACTCGGAAGCTAAAGGCATTCAGTTATTGACACAGTAAATATATAATCATGTCGAATAAATTCTTGCGGAATACCTGCATCTAATTTCACCAAAACTATTATAAAAATAGTGTAGTCATCCTTTCACTAGAAACACTGAATTTGAAGAGAATTTGTATTCATTGTGTAATAATTAAAATTTCCTTGTGTTCATTGAAATTTCTGCATTTCTGATTAGCTGAATTGGTCACATGTTATTGCATTCATTTCACAATGAATGTAAATAATTAAGCCACGCCCACCGAAGTGGACTACTTTTATAACTATGGAATGTCGAGGAATCCCAATATTACAGTCGAGGGAATTCCCTTTCTGCTCACTTGTATCCTCGTGCACAGGACATTTAGCGAAATTCACGCATATTCATTGTCCAAACAACCCTTTGAGACCGGTGGCCGAGAAGGAATGAAACAGCAAACGTGCAGGCTCGCTCGCCGTGGTTCCACAATTTTCATGTCTTCGGGTTTCATTTCTAACTAGCATTTTTCCAACTGTGTCTTCCTGTTCTCAGGGAACTAATGTTTGAATCTGGCGGTAACTGATCATGTCATTTGAAACAGCCGCCATATTTGTTCCGGCTCGTGACATTCTGACCGTTACACTGCTTCTTGCCTCTTGTCTTGATTGACAGGTCCTATGAACATTGTTTTGATCTTACTTTCCGTTGATTGGCTACTGACTTTGTGTATGCATTTAACAATCACCTGATTCATGTTACGCCGCAGTATGTATTCCTACACCTGGAATGTTTATCAATCTCGTCTTTTTTATGTGTTTTGATATACATATATAACTCTTGTTGGTTAAACTATTGCAGATAAAACATGTTTTTGTTGTGGAATTTAATTATAAGCATTGACTATGTATATTTCGGTTCATTAGGTAGTAATCGAAATACCGATGTGCAAACTTTTGTAAGAATCCGCTACTACGCGGATTCATACAGTTTGCACATTGGTTTTTCGATTCCTACCTCAATGAACCGAAATAGATACAGTCAACCCTTAATCAAATTATTTATAGACTAGTCATGTGTTCGTCTTTCTGATACTTATCGAGATGCATTGTAGTGGAGGCTGCAGGAAACAATGACATCTTACTGTAATATTGTACCAGGTGACAAGTGAAGTAGACGGATATCGTTTTGACTTTCTCTCTTCTGCACCTAACGTGTTTGGCGGAAAAAATCATAAACTGGAAGATGGACTGTCGGCATTTCAAGGAGCAAGATTCTCCACCTACGACACTGACAACGACCTCAGTGGTGACAACTGCGCGGACATCCACCAGTCAGGGTGGTGGTTCACGACATGTGGAGGCTACAATCCGACTGGGCAACCACAGTCTCCAGCAGTCCAGAACAAGACGTCTGACCCCACACACATGTCATGGCCTCACCATCTAGGTTACAGCGCCATATATATCCAACTCTACGTTCAGGCAACTTAGTTGCAACCTTATTGCCTGAACAGGCAAGTCGCAGAGTCTAACCGCTCGATCCATTAGTTGTAAAGCTGAGTTACATGGAACCAATTCTATCCCGACTCCACAGAATAACCAAGCTTAGACGTCAGCTACACGTTTTCTTATTTCTGACAGCTTCATACAACTGTGAAATTACCATGCCACACTCTTAAATCATCAGGACTCAAAAGCCATAGAAGTTTATGTTGTAGCAAGTTATCCGTTGAGAACAGAAACTTTATGTGAGAAATCTTTGTTTTTTGTTTTTTTTGTTTAACGCCGCACTCAGCAATATTCCAGCTTTATGGCGGTAAATAATCGAGTCTGGACCACATAATCCAGTGATTGACATGAGCATCGATCCACGCAATCGGGATACGATGACATGCAAACGTGTTGTCGTATATTTATGGACACCCATCTCGCCATTGCAAGCAATACGTTTTATGCGTTAAAACTGCAGAACATTTAAGTTCAACACATAAGTGCTACAGTAGACTACATCGAGTATAAGTGGATTGTGGTGTTTGCATTATTTGATTCAGATATGTTAAGGCGTTGCTTAAACATATTATGATTAAACATGATCAACTTCAGAATGACATATGTATCAAGATATTTTTGTCAATATTTCAGATAATGTTTGCCTTCACATGTTTATTGTATGCAATAAAACTGTTTGCAAAAAGAACTGTTTTTTTTCCATATTATCATATAATTTATTTAATCTACTTGCATATGCTCATGTTTTGAGTGATTAACGATGGCACGATATGCGCCAACACATAACGGTTTTCTAAGACACATACTAGTTTTTAATGTTAAACATGTGATTTTAAAAGATATAAAAGGTATGGTTGGTTGGTTTGTTTTTAACGCCGGACTCCAATATTCCAGCTACATGTATATGACGGCGGTCGGTAAATAATCGAGTCTGGACCTGGCAACCCAGTGATTAATATCATGAATCATCGATCTACGCAACTGGGATCGATGATATGCATCAATCAAGTCAACGACACTGACCACACGATCCCGTTAGTCGCCTCTTACGACAAGCATAGTCGCCTTTTACGGCAAGCATGGGGTTGCTGAAGACCTATTCTACCCCGGATCTTCACGGGTCGGTATGCATAGGGATCAGGTGTTAGCAGTTGTAGCTGAAGTCTGACCCTTACCGGAGATCCATCAGCCGTGACCAGATATGAGAGACCCCACAATCCTTATCGCTCTGAAATGAGACAGTTTGTACGTTCAAGTACAACCGATCACAGACGTAAACGACATTGCGTATCATACACTTTATCTTGAAATTGAATTACATCAGTGCTGTGTGAGACGAAGTTGTCGGACGTGCAAAACGTCTAGCTCGTGCTGTGACAGACATGTATATATGTTACTGTCTTTGTTCAGTCCAAGTTGAATGTTACGGCATACAACATGTCCAGACTAACCAGTTTGTTTGTTGTTTAACGCCGCACTCAGCAATAGTAGCACTATGAACTATCAACACAGTGAAACCTGAAAACAGTCACAATGTCTGTTATCTCTGCAAACACTCACTACTATTTGGGTGATTGGTGGAGTGGAAAACATACCCTGAAAAATGTCACTGAAAATATATTATAGAATGTTGATGTGATGTTTGATAACCCTTCTAACCAAATTGTGTATTGTTACGTCGCAAGGCAGGTATGGCGATATGCAAACGGCCATACCTAATATCGTACTTTGGGAAGGACTACCTTCCGAATCCGAACTCTATTCATGGTCAGAGACATCGAATAGCGAGTGAGTGAGTTGGGTTTAACGCCGCTTTTAACAGTATTCCAGTTATATCACTGACAACTGACACTGTCAGTGATCACTGATGAATAAAACTAGGACAAATATACAAGCTGGTTAGCTGAGCAACTGTATAACAGCTATTACAAAAGATAGCTAAATGAACATTCTGACAAGACACACAGTCAATTAAGTCGACTGTGACCAATTGACACCTGATAGTTAATTACCTCAACACTTAATGAGTGAAGAACCTTGGCTTCGTTGGATAGGGAGAAATGTGCACTGAGGGCCTATCCCTAACATAAGTCTCTTGGACAATTACGATAGACGTAAACCCTGCATAACAATAAAGACCTATGGGCTAAAGTCACTTGGAGTGAGCAAGGAAATTCTAGGCATGCCGAACATACAGGCACTGTTATTGTGTTGAGAAGATTTCTTTTTTCGTACTGATATGATTTCATTTTGGGTTTAAGAAATTGATAGAATTTCTTCGGCTGGTCAGAAATAGAGTAGTTTGACCTTTACTGTTTAGAAGATCTACGACTGATAGCGGATCTAACTGCAATTGCTGTTTCAACTGAGTCTTGGCTGGGGCATGGTCTTGACATTCCAGTAACAAGTGAACAATGTATTCAGGCAGATGGGCATATGTTGTCAGAGTGCTTTTTGTGACTGAGTCTGAGGCGTGAGATAGCTACTTCAACTTTCCTTTCATTTGATTGTGAATATGGCGTTTTGTTGATCTAGGGTTGGATTTTGTACAGGCATCTGCCCATCTTCCTTGCGTCAACTGGGGCTTGCCAATTGTTTAGTATGGAGGCTTGATTTTGCTTTTTATCTGTAGTTTGCCAGAGGGAATAGGCAGTATCTCTGCTTTGTCTAGGGCTTCATCTCGGGTGTTTTTGTCTTGCCATAGCATTGTCACTAAAGAGTTTGTGTTCGTTCCCAGAACGATAATACTGCCTGCTCTCTTCTTCGTGTCAAAAGGAGTTCTCCTGTTTCTACCTGTAGTGTAGTAAAGTAGTGTGAGTGAGTTGGGTTTAACGCCGCTTTTCACAGTATTCCAGTTATATCACGGCGTGTCAGCTTAATGTGGGAGGAAAGCCCGAAGTGATGCATGTCTCAGACGTTTACCACTTCGGTGAAACCCACGAGCACGGGTATGGTGCAGACAAACCTAGAAACACAATCGGGGCGAACCGGGATTCGAACCCACAATCAAAGGTTTCTGGCGTGCCGAAGGGACGCAACTCTGCACAGCGAATCGCGGCGCCTTAGACGAATGGGCCACCCGTGCCCCCTGTAGTAAAGTAAGTGTTACTGCGCCTGTGGCGAGCATTAGGGCTTTGTATTGTTTTTTGTCGAGGCGGCTCAAGACAGTGTTTGACGCTGAGTGAAATGCCTCACAACCATAGTCTATTTTTTATCTGATTAGTGATTTGTTGAGGTCTTGCTAAGAGTCCCTTTAGATACCCCACGATGTGCCTGAAATTGCCTGAAATACTTTCAGGTCTTTTTGACATCTGTTTTAACATATTATGTACATTTGTTCCAAGTGTGATCTTCATCTATGATCGAGCCTAGAAATTGGTTTGCCTTTTATGGAGAGACGGGGTGTCATAGCATTTCCCCCCCTACGTTTGAACAGAACATCCACAGTTTTTTCACTTGAAAGCGAAACCCTATCTATTGCACCATTCGCCTACTCCGTCTAGGATTTGAAATAGCTGTTTTACCCGTATTGCTTCGTCATCACCTAAGTTTGAAGATCATTGATCTTGATGTTAAACAGGGTTGGGCTTTTAATGCTGCGTTGTGGCATGCTGTTGTCCAGTGAAATCGGATCAGATTGATCCTTATTTTAACTGACAGCAGCCTGAATTGCAGGACGGTGTCTACGACGTTTGCCATGTTCCCTTCTACTCCATTTTGTGCTTGTTTGACTACACTCGATATCGCCAAGGGTTTTAAACCATACACGCTGACCTCGGAGGAAGCAACCTCCCCTTGCTAGCCCGGATATTGATGATGCCAGGAGAGCTAAAATGATTGTGCTTCTTACAATAGGGAAAATCCAAATAGCAAACTGACTACTAACGCAAAATGGGAGATGTAGACAATAACAATATCACGGCAAGGGACACAACAAATGGGCTTCACACATTGTACCCATGTTGAGAATCGAACCTGGGACTTCGGTGTGATGAGCGAACGTTTTAACCACTAGGCTACCTGAGCGCCAGTTGACCACGATACCCATTAACGTGCCAAGTTCGGTGAAGAAATATTGTAAGGATTTCAAGATATGCTTCGGAAACGAGGACTACCGCCATTTTAGTCTTAGTCAAAGTAGTTGCCACGGAAACTCGAATTATTTTTATTTTAAATCCCAAACTATCAAAAGTACAACTTCACCACTAGACCTATCCATGTGCTAAGTTTGGTTGAGATATCTCATTGTTTTTGTGTTCTGCTCCGGAAACGAAATGTGACAGACGGACGGAGAGACGGACGGACGGCACCCATTCCTATATCCCCCTTCCACTTCATGGCGGGGGATATAAACATTCACGGGCAACAAATTCTCTAACAATACGCTAGGTGCCGGACAGTTAAGAGAGGGGAAGTGCTATGGTCACTAGCCGCTAACTATCATGAAGGAATTGTCGTTCTTAATCAAAACATTTAACCTGCTCAAAGGGACCCTTTTTCACACGACCTGGGTTTGAACACTCATATATTCATTTTGTTATCAAATTCCAGACCGGCACATGAATACGAAATTCTCGCCTTGTTTTCCCTGATCAATCTAAGTATATGTACGATTCTTATCGAGATGCAGTGGAGGGATATATCCCTTTTCGTATGATTAATAAAAATAAATAGATAAAAGCGACAAATCCTCTTCCATAATCATAAACAATCTCTGATTAAAGCATAGTCGATTGTAAGATTCCGACTACATCACGAGCATGTGTTCGTGAATCAATCAGTGATGGATGATACCATGTTTTCGCAAAAGGGTGAGCCGGTGACACCTATCACAAACACATGCAAAGGCAAGTCAATTATTCATCTGACAAAAACAATGGAAACACATGTTCCAAGTCAGAATAGGAAATTGTCAATTTGGAAATGTCAACCTGAATCGTTCCGCATGGATCTGAATATGAAACAGATGAGGCTGTTTCTTTGATCTCGTTAATTTCTATTTCTGATGGGTAAATCATCCGAAGGGACTTGGCTTTTTGACCGTTACAAAACAATATCAGCAATATTCCAGCAATATCACGGCGGGGGACACTGGTAATGGGCTTCACACACTGTACCCATGTCGGGAATCGAATCCGGGTCTTCGGCGTGACTGAAGTTAATCTACTTGGCCAAATTGCCTTGTTTGATTTTGCCAGTTCGAGAAGAAATGTATAAATGCACAGAACAGAACAGCAATGTTTACCTTTAGTTTGTCGAGTGGGAAAGTGGTAAACAAAATTAAAAATTCAAACGTTTTGTTTGTTTGTTGTTTAACGCCGGACTCAGCAATATTGCAGCTATACTTATAATTGCTGAGTGTGGCGTTAAACAATAAATAAAATAAATATAACGGCGGTCTGTAAATAAACATCATGAGCATCGATCCACACAACTGGGATTCGATGACATGCATCAACTAAGTCAGCGATCACCCAATTCCGTTAGTCGACTCTTTGACAGAATTGAACTTGCTGAAATTGCACAAACATTCAAACAAATTCAGGTGAGAACCCATATGGTTATAAACTGACGTCCAAAGGAAACTTTACCAGAGTTTGAAATCACTCTTGCTCAAAAACAATACAACATACATGCATGAAGTAAAGTGTATTTAGAAGATCAATATATCAACATAATCAACACTGAAAATGACAATCATACCGCGACCAAGAATGACGTCAGAGTCCCCCAAAGTTGGATGTGGTACAAA